GGTCCCCAAATACAGCTCCAAGCACCAACAATTGAACAAATAGCAACCAAACAGCCCAAAAATCAATTAAGTAGATAAACAATAAAAATTTGCACCCAAAAACTAATTAGACACGTGAACAGCAGACTACTCCCCAAACACTACCAAATCAACCCAAAAATCACTTAATTAGACTAACGCAGGAAAATTCCCCCAAAAACTAATTAAAGAAATAACCAGAGTGAAAACTTTCCCCCAATATCTCTGATTGAGCACCAAATTTCACAAATAGACCACAATCAACCACAGATATATCACAGCACCCAAAATCAAACAAGAAATTGAAAATCTGGCCTCAGCTAAGAAAGTAAAAATCTGTCCTCTGCTAAACAAAAATTAAAAATCTGGCCTCAGCTAAGTGACAGTAACTGAAAGAGAGATATCACCGGAGAAAAATTTTTCAGCTCATTTGACAGGTTGAGGAGGGACGCGCGTGGCCTGCGATGGTGGTCTTGGAGATCGCGCGCAATGACTGCTGGAGCTGCGCGCTTGGCTGCTGGAGACGCGCGACTGCAGGCGGGCGGCGGACTGGGCAGTGGACTGGAGCAGGGTGGGCGCAGAGGAGGCTGTTGGCGGCGCGCTGTCTGGGCTGTGCGTGCGCGGTCTGCGCGGTGGGCTGACGGCGCGCGGGCTGGTCGACTGTACGGAGGATGCACGAGGCGAGGCTGGGCGAGGTCACGCGAGGCTGGGCTGGAGCTCGCGCGCAGCTGGCGGTGGCGACGCGCTGGGCGGCAGGCGCGCGGTCTGCGCTGCGCTGGGCTGTGGCAGGCGCGCTATCTGCGATGCGCGCACATGGTCTGCGCGCACGCGACTGCGGCTGGTGGGTCTGGTGGTCCGCGTGGTGGCGAGCAGCGCGGCGAGCTGGGCCGCAGCTTGGTGGACAGCGGCAGCAGCGCGATGGGCGGCGGCGTGCGGTCAGCGACGGCGGACCAAGCAAGAGAAGAAAAGAAAGAAAAGGAAGAAGAAAGAAGAAAGAAAGAAAAAGAAAGAAAAGGAAGAAGAGGAGAAGTAGGTCTACGGAAGTTTTTTTTTTTTTTTTTAACGTGACCACCTGGCGTGGGCACGCCCAACTGCTATGGAGTTTGCAGAACCTGATCGTAAATTTCTTCCCCTGGAACGTGACCACCTGGCGTGGGCACGTCTAACTGCCATAGAGTCCGCAGAACCTGATCGAAAATTTCCTTCGTCAGGCGTGACCACCTGGCGTGGGCACGTCTAACTACTATGGAGTTCGCAGAACTTGAGCGAAAATTCCTTCCCCTGGAACGTGACCACCTGGCGTGGGCACGTCTAACTGCCATAGAGTCCGCAGAACCTGATCGAAAATTTCATTCGTCAGGCGTGACCACCTGGCGTGGGCACGTCTAACTACTATGGAGTTCGCAGAACCTGAGCGAAAATTCCTTTTCCTCAAGCGTGACCACCTGGCGTGGGCACGCCTAACCACTAATCTCCTGCCACAAAACATCAAACCATCAATTGACACTAATGCATGACTAAAACTTCAAAAATGCATAAAAACTGAAACAAATAGTCTTGGGTTGCCTCCCAAGTAGCGCCTTTCTTTAATGTCTTTGGCTAGACATGGCCAAAACCCTCAAGCATGATAAAGTGGATCTTGGAGGTGTTCAACTTCTACTTCTTCAACATAGAAACCCTCATAATAAGGTTTGAGACGATGGCCATTCACCACGAACTTTTTCTCCGTTTTTAAACTCTGGATTTCCACTGCACCATAATGGAACACATTAGAAACGACAAATGGACCAATCCAACGAGAACGCAACTTACCGGGAAAAAGTTTGAGCCTAGAGTGATACAAGAGGACTTTTTGCCCCACTACAAAAGTTTTCCTAGAAACCTGCTGATCATGAAAGATTTTACTCTTTTCCTTATAGATCGTGGAATTCTCATACGCCTCATTTCTTATTTTTTCTAACTCTTGTAGCTGCAATTTCCTTTGGACCCCTGCTTCATCTAATCCCATGTTACACTGTTTCACTGCCCAAAACGCCTTGTGTTCGAACTCCACGGGGAGATGGCAAGCCTTACCGAAGACAAGTCTATACGGAGACATCCCAATCGGCGTCTTATACGCGGTCCTATAAGCCCATAGTGCGTCTTCTAACTTTAAACTCCAATCCTTCCTATCCGGGCGCACCATCTTCTCCAAGATCGACTTGATTTCCCTGTTCGACACTTCGGCCTGACCTTTTGCCTGCGGGTGATACGGTGTGGATATCTTATGCAGTACACCGTATTTTCGAAACAAGGCCGTGATAGTCTTGTTGCAGAAATGTGTCCCTCTATCACTAACCACAGCTCTTGGCATTCCAAAACGGACAAAGATATTAGATCTTAAAAAATCTGCAACCACTCTAGAATCATTAGTACGGGTGACTTTAGCTTCCACCCATTTAGAGACATAATCTACAGCAAGTAAAATATACAGGAAACCAAAAGATGAGAGAAAAGGACCCATAAAATCTATCCCCCAAACATCAAAAATTTCAACAAACAACATGGGGGTTTGAAGCATTTGGTCCCTACGAAAAATATTCCCCACTCTTTGACACCTATCACAGGATTTACATAATAAATAAGCATCTTTAAATAGGGTAGGCCAGTAAAAACCACTCTCTAACACTTTGCGAGCCGTTCGCTTGGGCCCAAAATGCCCTCCACATGCAAACGAATGACAGAAGTTTAAAATGGAGTGAAATTCACCTGCACTTACACACCTCCTGAGCACTTGATCCGAACATTGTCTCCAAAGGTACGGGTCGTCCCAAATGTAATATTTGGCATCACTCTTCAACTTGTCTCTCTTAGCCTTTGGCCACCCTCCAGGCAATTGATTAGTCACTAAGAAATTTACTAAATCGGCATACCAGGGTACAGACGCGTTCACAGCAAGTAGTTGTTCCTCTGGAAATGCCTCCCTCAATGGCGGCTCCTCCTTATGAGCAAGCAAGCGGCTCAAGTGATCAGCAACTAAATTTTCTGCCCCACTTTTATCCTTAATCTCCAAGTTGAACTCCTGAAGGAGCAGGATCCATCTGATGAGCCTTGGTTTAGCATCCTTCTTCGTCATCAAGTATCTCAAGGCTGCATGATCAGAGAAAACTGTTATTTTTGCACCTAACAAATAAGGTCTAAATTTTTCTAATGCAAAGACTACAGCTAGCAATTCTTTCTCTGTTGTAGAGTAGTTGAGCTGAGCTCCATTTAACGCCTTCGATGCATAGTAGATTGCATGTGCAGCTCTACCAATCCGTTGCCCCAGCACCGCTCCCACTGCATAGTCACTTGTGTCACACATTATCTCAAACGGGAGGCTCCAGTCTGGAGGTTGGATAACAGGCGGTGATGTCAATGACTCCCGCAGCCTGTTAAATGCCACCTTGCACTCTTCGGTGAAGTCATATGCTACATCTTTTTGCAACAGCTTAAACAGGGGCGCTCCAATTTTGGAGAAATCTTTGATGAATCTCCTGTAGAACCCTGCATGACCCAAAAAGGAGCGCACCTCCCGCACACTTGCGGGGTAAGGTAAAGCAGAAATAATATCGACTTTTGCCTTGTCTACCTCTATACCCCTGGCCGACACTACATGCCCTAAAACAATGCCCTGATCCATCATGAAATGACACTTTTCCCAATTTAAAACTAAATTCGCCTCAATGCACCTCTTCAAAATTAAATCTAGATTATCCAGGCATTCATCAAAACTATCTCCATACACACTAAAACCATCCATAAACACCTCAATAATCTTTTCTACATATTCAGAAAATATACTTACCATACACCTCTGAAAAGTTGCTGGGGCGTTGCAGAGGCCGAAAGGCATCCTCCGGTAGGCAAATGTACCAAAGGGGCAGGTGAAGGTAGTTTTCTCCTGATCCTCTGGTGCTATTGCAATCTGAAAATAACCAGAGAAACCATCAAGAAAACAATAATAGACACGGCCAGCTAACCTCTCTATCATCTGATCAATAAAAGGCAGAGGGAAGTGGTCCTTCTTCGTCACAGCATTCAGACGCCGATAGTCAATGCACTGGCGCCATCCTGTGGGTTTCCTCACCGGGACCATCTCACCCTCTTGGTTCTCTTCAACTGTTACTCCCGCCTTTTTCGGGACTACTTGCACCGGGCTCACCCAGGGGCTATCTGAGATGGCGCAAATGATCCCCACTTCTAGGAGTTTAAGTATCTCCTTCTTGACCACTTCCATCATTAGTGGGTTCAATCTCCGTTGCCCTTGTCTAACTGGCTTTGCATCATCCTCAAGCCGGATTCGATGCATGCATAAGGAGGGGCTAATTCCCTTGATATCTGCTACACTCCACCCAATCGCCTCCTTATGATCTCGAAGAAGACGAATTAGTCTATCTTCTTGCCCTGGTGATAGGTGTGCATATATGATGACTGGCAGTGTCTCATTGTCCCCGAGAAAAGCATACTTCAAATGCTTTGGGAGAGGTTTGAGCTCCAACTCAGGCGCCTGCACAATAGAAGGCAACAATTTTGCCTGAGTTTCTGGTACAAAAACAGAAGTAAGCTCATACCTTGGGAAAATTGGTGGGAGCGAATGCAGTGCTCCAACAGCGTGGTATAGCTCATCATTTATTTCTACATCAAAAGTTGCTCCCAACTCAAGATGTTTGGCCAATGCCACTGCCAGTGCATCAACCCCATCCAATTCAAATATTTCCTGTACAAGGGGCTCAACAACACTTAAAGCATAAACAGAGTTAGTCTCATCTGGGTACTTCATCGCCTAAAAAATATTAAAATTTACAATTTCTCCATCAAACTCCATCGACAAGGTACCCTCATTTACATCTATTTTCGTCCTAGCAGTGCTTAAAAATGGCCTACCTAACAGAATAGGAGACGGATTTAGTGCCCTTTCATCCCCCATGTCTAGGACATAGAAATCTGCAGGGAAAACTAACTCATTGACCTGTACCAAAACATCTTCAACTAACCCTTCCGGGTAAGCATTGGTACGGTCTGCAAGTTGGATTATAATGCCTGTGCCTTTTAACGGGCCAAGATTTAGAGATGCATAGATTGTCTTAGGCATAACATTAATTGACGCCCCCAAATCCAGCATTGCTTTCCTAATTGGAGTACCTCCTATCTTGCAGGGAATGGTGAACATACCTGGATCTCCACATTTTGGTGGGAGTTTTCTCTGGAGTATAGCTGACACGTTTTCTCCCACCGCCACTTGTTCATCTCCCCTTAACTTTCTCTTGTGGGTGCACAAGTCCTTCAAAAATTTAGCATACTTCGGTATCTGCTTGATTGCATCCAACAGGGGGATGTTAATCTCTACTTTCCTGAATACATCCAAAAGTTCCTTTTCCTTTTCTACTTTTCTTGTCTTCTCCAACCTGCAAGGAAAAGGGGGTAAGTTAGAGCTAATAGTGAGTGGAGAGGTGGAGGTTACCTTAGGCTCCTCACGAACACGTCCTTCCTCCTCAATTTCCTTTTCTATCTCCTCCTCGCTTTTGCTCTTCGAATTTTTCACTTTAGGCCCTTCCAACTCCTTGCCACTCCTCAGCGTCATGGCACTTACATTCTTGGGATTCACCTCGGGCTGCGATGGCAGTTTCCCATAAACGTGGGACTCCAAGCGGTTAATGGCAGTTGCCAGTTGGCTTATTCGAGCGTCTTGGTCCTTCTTGTCCGCTTTGATCTCCTGATGAAGGCTTTTGATTAGGTCCTCCAAGGAGATTCCTGAATTGGAGGATGAGGGTTGAGATTTTGGTTGCCAAGGCTGGTGGAATCCTGGTGGACGATTCGGGAATGAACCTTGTTGCCTGTTCCCATAACTGAGGTTGGGGTGGTCTCTCCAACCGGGGTTGTATGTGTTGGAATACGGGTCATACTGTCTGCGGGGCGCGGGCACGCCTCCGACCATATTTACCTGTTCTGCCCCGTCCTCTTGCAAAATGGGGCACGAATCCGTGCAGTGGTCCATGCTAGTACAGATTCCACACACCTTTGCTCGCGGTGTGTCTCTCATGGCCAACTGCCTGACAGCAGATGTCAACTCTGACAGTTGCTGCTGGATGGATGACGTCTCTGCCTCATTGACTCTACGGGTAGGATTGCTCTCACGGAAGCCGAACTGCTGAGAGTTTTCTGCCATGGCTTCAATAAGGTCTCACGCTTCCCTCGATGTCTTGTTCGCCAGGGCTCCTCCACTCGCAGCGTCAATAATACTCCTGTCAGTTGATTGGAGTCCCTCATAGAAGTACTGGATCAACAGTTGTTCACTAATCTGATGCTGTGGGCATCTAGCGCACAATTTGGTGAACCTTTCCCAAAAATCGTATAATGACTCCCCGGAGTACTGCTTGATCCTGCAAATCTCCTTCCTCAAACTCGCAGCCCGGGATGCGGGGAAAATTTTTCCAGGAATTTCTTCTTCAATTGTGCCCAAGTGGTGATACTACCTGCAGGTAGGTAGTATAGCCAGTCCTTCGCTGCATCCTTGAGAGAGAAGGGGAAGGCTCTCAGTCTTATTTGCTCCTCAATGACCCCAGGAGGTTTCATGCTAGAGCATACTACTTCGAATTCCTTGACATGTTTGTGGGGTTCTTCACCAGAAAAACCATGGAACGAAGGCAGGAGCTGAATCAACCCCGATTTCAGCTCGAAAGAGGTATTTTCAGTCAGAGTTGGGAACGTGATGCACAAGGGCTGATGAGTCAGGTCTGGGGTAGCCAACTCCCTTAATGTCTGGGTGTTGGCCATGCTAAATTCGTCTTCTGTTGACTCGTTTGCAGTGGATAAATGCCTTTCTTTTTGTCTCCTGGTCTCTTGCCTTCGCCTACGCGCTGCTTTCTCAACTTCAGGATCGTATACCAAGTCACCTGTGCGAGAAGAACGGGGCATAAACTAGCAAAAATGCCAAGGAAAAGAAAAATAAAATAAAACAAAATAAAACTGAATTAAAAAAGAAACAAATAATTCAAACGCCAAGTCCCCGGCAACGGCGCCAAAAATTGACAGGTGCCGAACCTGTGCAATAATAATAAATAAATCCTAACTACCACTTGAAACAGTTAGTAATCAATTCGAGTACTGGAGCAGGGACTCTAGGTGTGCAATGGGTTACTTGATTCACCCTGTTCCAGAAGAGTTTGCTTAATCCGATATACCTGAATTAATTATTTAACTGAGCTCCCTAACTAGTAGACAGTGGTAAGCAGGGTCGTCTCCTCAGGGACTGGAGAGATATTTGTTTCTTTTCAAATCAAGATTAATGGGGGGGTTTTGGTATCAAAAGCCAACGGAACAAATTAAATGCAGAAAATAATTAATTAAAAGAAATAACTAAGAGAAATTCTAGCCAAGGGTATACTTCAGAAATGGTTCATGCACTGATCATCGATGCAAAAATAATTCCAACCTTTATTAATAGATTGGTTCTAGTTGTCTCGCACGCGCTAAACAACCAATCCTTCCTTAATTTATCGATAGTTAAGGTACGACCGTTAGCTATTTCTCTAACCCAAAAACAACCCTAGGTACGACCGTAGGATTCAATTTCTAGATTGCATTAGTAATTAGAAAGGCCCAATCCTGACTAACAAACACGCTACGAGGGTTCATTCAAGCCAGATCAAATATTCCCCTGACACAAATCCAATTGTGCCAGTTGCTACTGGAATAGAAATAACGAACAATTACGGATTCAATTACCCCTATATAGCAAAATAGCCTATATAAACAATTAATTATTGCGCACTAATCAATCATACATAAGGCTATAACACTTAGAAACAGGAAATATATAAATATTAATAAATGGAGGAAATAGTTAAAATAAATTCGATCTCACAGTAATTTCTGAACCAAATCGTCAGTTATCTCCTTGACTAGAATTGGAGAATTAGCCCTCCATTAACGGAGAGCAAGCGGCGCGTGAATGATTTGAGAAAGTTGCCAGATCGGATCTTTTGTTGCTTTTTCCTAGGGTGGCCTACGCGGTCATGCGATATTCACCTTTTTCTCCTGCCTTTCTCTTTCACCAGGCGTATCAGAGGGAATGCTTCTTATTGGCCTTGTTTTCAATCAATCTGCTTAGGCTAGAAAGGGCAAGGATGCAAGTCAACAATTGCGGCTGCCTTGCTTTCTTCCTTTTGTGTTTTGTGTTAGTCAAGCATACGAGAAAACAATTTCAATTCCTTGATTTCTTGGTCAAAGATAGTTAAAAGCAAAAAAACCAAAAGTTGGTTGCTCACAAGTCAACAATAATGGCTTCTGTCCTCGCTTCTCTCTCAAGCTGCGGCGCACAGTGCCCTCACCAAAAACAAAAACTAAAACAACTCCCCTTTTTCCTTCGCCGCGCGAGAGATAAAATACCATCCCCAAAATTGCAGACCGACTCCCTAGAAATATATTAAAATAAAATCTATTACAATTAGGTTTCTTCAACTTCTCAAACGGGCCCCACGTCCGGTGAATCTTCTAAAAGTTGAATTTAAGCACTTTTCAGCAACCGTTCCTGTAATTAGCACCAAAACAAAATATCAGTAGAATCCACCCAATTAACAAAAATATTTAGCCAATTACTTGTGCAGTAATGCCCAAAATACCCACTAAAATGCAACCTATCAGTGAACAAGCTTCAAATCATCTTGGTCAAGCCCTTCAATGGTTTTTGGGATAACTTCTTGACTTTGGACAACACAAATAAGCCCTTAAAGTGCCCCTCGTAGTTTCTTAGCTCGAGCGCGTAAACAGTCCTAGTGGGATTTGAACCTTATCCGATGGCATAGCAAATTTTTTTTTGGAAGCACAATTTAGGACACACATTAGTCTTCTTTCATCGGTGAAATGGAAAGAATGGTTGAAACTTAAGCAATTTAAATTATCCTTCGTCAATGACAATTAAGAAAACTAAAATTGATTTTTATATATATATATATATATATATATATATATATATAAATAACATATTCTAGTTGCCCAATTGCCCTTCCTTCTTACCCAAAACATCTATTGCTAACTCCACAAGCTAATAGCAATTTGGAAGAATTCCAACTCCAATTGTGGTGCAAGTTCATTTATTCTTGGCAAACTCACAGAAAAGTGCATTTCCAAATATGTACGTACATTTCCTACAATCCTCAAACCTTCAAATCATGCTGCCAAATTACTACAAATGTATACAACGTTATTGGAATGTTATTTGTCCACCTATTCTTCCAACTCTCATTTTTTCTGGCTGCTTTAAGCCTACAAATCTATGTCAATAAGAGCAAATTTCAGTTTGCACTCTTAAACTTGTATCACTTTTTTAATTTAGGGTAAAAAATAAAAAGCCCCTGTGGTAAGACTAATACACAGAAAAGCCCTCTATGGTTTCAAAATATACAATACGACACCTCATACTTTGAACTAAATTATAAAGGTGACGGAATCCGTTAAATTTAACGGAAATGACTTATTGGAACCTAAAAAATTTTTTATACCTAATTTTTATCAAATATACCTATTCTACCCCTTAACCCTCAATTCTCTCTATTTAAAGAATAAAAGAAATGATTTTTTTGAACTGTCTTTTGCTTAATTATATCAGGGCATTTTGGTCATTTCGTCCATTTCCGTTAAGTTTAACGGATTTCGTCACCTTTACAATTTAGTTCAAAGCATGAGGGGTCGTGTTGTATATTTTGAAAGTATGGGAGACTTTTCTGTATATTAGATTTATCACAGTGGGCTTTTTTATTTTTTACCCTTTAATTTATATCCTAAATTTTAATTTTAGATAGTTTACATTCTAAACTCTTAATTTTGGACACTTTACACCTTAAATTCTCAAATTGTCCCATTTAAATCCAATCAATGATTATAATCATAAAATTAAAGAAATAAAGGTCGGTAAAAATTAATGACAATGTACCGTTTTGTTCTAACTGACAATTGCTCTACTTTAATTTTTTACCATTTGTAGCATCTTATCATTGATTTATATGGTTTCAATTACTAATATTGATAGCAAAATTAACGAGATAAAAGATGCTGCAAATTAATAACAATGTGTTGTTTTATTTTTGCTATGATACCTTGGTATCTTTTGATTACTTTGACATATTATCATTGATTTGTTGCGTTCTCTATGCTGTTAATTTTATAAAAGTTGTCATTGACTAGATTTAAATAGGACAAACTTGAGAGTTTATGTTATAAAGTATTCAAAATTAAGAGTTTAGGGTGCAAAATATTCAAAATTGAAATTTAGAATGCAAAGTGAGAAACTGGTTTAAGTTCAAGAGTGCAATGCAGAATTTGTTCCATCAATAAAAGTCTAACTTTAGCTAAAAAAAAAAGGGATAATTTCAAAAACTTCCCCTGCGATTTGTGGCAATATCACTTTGATACCCTTGAACTTTGAGCAGTTTTAAAAATTTAAGAATTTTGAACTTTCTAATTTTTTTTGTATAGACCGATGACTTGAATATCAGAGACAGACACAACTTTCTAAAATTATATTTACAAACTCATTTGAAGTGTTTTTAAAAACATAACACGAACTTTCTTTATTACAATATATATTTAGATGAATTTAGAATTTTTTTTAATATTCTAATTTTTTTTCCAAATTGATGGCTTGAAAACAAGAGAAAGATAAATTATTAACAATACATTTAGAAACTAATTTGAGGTACTTTCAAGGCACAAAATGTTATTTTTTTCTAATTATAATAATTTTTTCTTTTGCATTCCTTGTCTAGACTGATGACTTCAAAAATTGCAAAAGGTCTTTCAACCTAATTAATATGTTGTAATTCTTAAGGATTTAACCTGGTTTATTATGAAAACTAAAGGTCCACAAAAAAGTGTAATTTTGGAATATAAATATTTTACCCCTCCCAAAATGAGCTCTTAAATCCTATCTTTTAAAATTGGTTGATAAAGTTATAAAAAGTTGAAAATTAAGGGAGACATGTGAGATTTCTTAAAGTTTAGAGGAGTGAAATGATATTGTCATAAACCTCAGGAGAGGTTTTTGAAATTATCCCATATATATATATATATATATATATATATATATATATATATATATATATATATATATATATATATATCTAGGGACTTAATCCGTCACTTCCAGTTTCTTTTTTTCTTTTATTGCTA